GCCCCACCAGGGCAGCCTGGCTGCACGCAGGCCCTGCCGTACTGCTCCCCGCAGCTCCGGAGCGCCAGCGCCACCGGTTGCCACGCGTCGCCGGAGGACCGGGGTCCCACACGGAGGCAGGGAGGACACGACGGCAGCTTTGGACAAACCTTTCGGAGGTCCGCGGGGACTTCTGCGAGGGGCAGCGACAGGGATGGATTTGGCATCGGACCGTATCGGATCGTCGGAACTTCAGAATCGAATCGGATGCCTGTCCCCCCTATCGTCGCATCTCACGCGCGCGTGCCCATCTGCTCGCCCGTGCCTTCTCCGGCAGGCTCCCCAGGCAATGCCATCGCAGGACGCGAAGAGTCGAAGGGGACAAACACAGACATATACTCCAGCTTTCGTAATAAAAGGGAGGGGGTCTGGACCCTCCAAGACAAGCCATTTCAGACCTTCTCCGTGGGAGAACCCTCCAAAACATCGTCCCCAGACCCCCCCGGCCCTCCAAGACAGCCTGGAAGAGACCCCCCCCCCGAAATGAGACCCCCCTCCCTTTATTACGAAATCTGGAGTAATCGAATCGGGTCGGGCCATGCGATACCGAACCGGAGGGGATCGGCTCGAGGCTCGAGTCGGCAGCGCGCCGCGCTGTGGCGCGGTGGGCCCAAGCTGGCGGCGCGACGCGCCGGGCCAGGAGCTCTCCCCCACCGCAGCGGTGGAAGGGCAACGATCGGGGGGGGATTTACCAGCCTGAAGCATATCCCTATCCCTGTACTGGGCATCTCCTCATCACGATGCCAATATTAGGGATTCTCTTAGTTTTTCAGGGCGAATCCCTAAGATTGTCATCGCCTCTTGGCGCGTCAATCTTAGGGATAGGGATACGTTCGAGGCTGGTAAGGGATAGGCATGTATGTAGGGGGGGGGGGGGGGGCACATCGACTTGGAATCGGCGATGCATCGCCGATGGATCGGCGAGAGGTCCCCGCTAGTGAATCCGCACCTTCTTGGGCAGGTTGCGGCTATCGGGTCCCGGTGGGCGATCAATGGGCGACTGGGGGTCGATGCGCCCCCCCCTTATGCGTATCCCCCCCTATCCCAGACCTGCGACGTCAGGATTTTTGTCATGGCGTCGACCCCCAGAGTTCTCGACCCATTCCCTGGGACCAGCTTCTGATCCTGAATCGTTTTTTGGAGGTCCCGAGGCCCGGTCAGGGCCCCCCGGAAGCCAAAAATAACGAAAAAACCTCCGTCATGATTTTCTCATGACCCGTCCAGGGGGCCCGGCGATCCAGGCGCGGTGCATTTTTTTGTGGCACGCCGGGCGCTGTCGCCCAGCTTCGGCCCAAAAGGACCCGCACGGACCGATAGGGCTCGATTCCTCCTCCTCCTCCTCCTCCTCCTCCTCTTCCTCCTCCTCCTCCTCCTCCTCCTCCTCCTCCTCCTCCTCCTCCTCCTCCTCCTGCTCCGTCAGGGATCGTTGCCCCAGAAGCCTGCAGCGCCCCGAGCGCCCCGGCGGCGGGACGCTCGGGCACCGGGCGGCCCTTGCGTCCGCAGCCTCTCCTCCTCCTCCTCCTCCTCCTCCTCCTCCTCCTCCTCCTCCTCCTCCCTCCTCCTCCTCCTCCTCCTCCTCCTCCCTCCTCCTCCCTCCTCCTCCTCCTCCTCCTCCTCCTCCTCCTCCTCTCCTCCTCCTCCTTGTCCTCCTCCTTCTCCTCCTCCTCCGTCTCCTCCTCCTCCTCCTCCTCCTCCTCCTCCTCCCCTCCTCCGTTTCCCTTCTCTCCGTCCTCCCCCTCCTCCTTGTCCTCTTTCTCCTCCTCGACCTCCTCCCCGTCCTCCCCCTCCCCCGCCCTCCTCCTCTCCCGCCCACTTCCGCCTCACTCCCACCCTTCCTCCTTCATCCTCTTCCTCCTCCTGCTCCTCCTCCTCCCCTGCTGCTCCTCCTTTTCCTCCTCCTCCTCCTTCTCCTCCTCCTCCTCTTCCTCCTCTTCCTCCTCCTCCTCCCCCTCCTCCTCCACCTCTTCCTCCCTCTCCTCCCTCTCTCTCTCCTCCCTCCTCCCTCCTCCCTCTCCCCTCCTTCCTCCCTCCTCCCTCCCTCCTCCGACCTCCCTCCCTCCATCCTCCCTCCTCCTCTCTCCTTCCTCCTCCCCCGTCCTTCCCTCCTCCCTCCTCTCCCCCTCCTCCCTCCTCCCTGTTCCCTTCTTTTCCTCCCTCTTCCTGCTCCTCCTCCTCTTCCTCCTCCTCCTCCCTCCTCACTCCTCCTCATCCTCGTCTTCCTACTCCTCATCCTCACTCACTCCCTCCCTCCCTCCCTCCCCCTCCTCCCTCCCTCCCTCCCTCTCTCCCTCCCCCCCTCCTGCTCCTCTTCCGCCATCCTTCCTCCGCCTCCTCATACCTTCTTCATGTCGCACCCCAAATCAAGTTTTTAGGGCGATGCGGTCATGCGTGAGACCCCCTAACCACTTATGACTCTGAAGCTTAGGAAGTGGCAACAGCTTCACGGATTGAGGCCGGATCGTATTCAAAATGTAGCTCTCGCCTTAGCGCCGCGCACATACGGGCACAACAATTGTAAGAGTTTCTGCTGTTCAAACTGTGGATCTCGCCTGAGCGCCGCGCACAGTCTCAACCAGTTGCAAAAGTTTCACGGATTGAGGGCGGCTTCTTCTCAACAGGTGGCTCTCGCCTTGGCGCCGCGCACACTGGTCTTAAACATGTGGAAGGGCTTTACCGATTGAGGGCGGGTCGTTTTGAATATGTGGCTCTCGCCTTAGCGCCACGCACATTCGCTTCAACCAGTTGCAAAAGTTTCAAGGATTGAGGGCGGCATTCTTTTCAACAGGTGGCTTTCGCCTTGGCGCCACTCGCACCGGTTTAAAACAACTTGCAGGAACTTCAAGGAGCGAGGACGGTTATTGTTTCAACATGTGGCTCTCGCCTGAGCGCCGCGCACATGCGTTTCAGAACATTGCAAGAGCTTCACGGATTGAGGGCGGCTCCTTTTCTAAATGTGGCTCTCGCCTTGGCACCGCGCAGATTCGCCCAAACAAATTGCAACATGAGTCCCACGGACTCCCATGATCAACGTGCCAGGTGGTGCTTTGGAAAGGTTCAGGATTATGCTGGCGCAGCATTTATGTTGATTCGCGGTGGTGCAATCCCACAAATGGCATTATGGCAAAACGCAGCAGTCAGGTTGATCCCAGAGCAATGTTTTGGCATGTTTCTGGGTCTTCAAACTGCTGCCTTCCAACGAGGCAGTTCTCGCAATGGAAAAGAACCGTTGTAGGGGCCTGTGAAGAGGGAGCTTGGAGGGAGGGTTAATTCCAACATCGTTGATGACTCTTGGGTTTACACTGGTCCTCCTTTTCCTGCTCCTCCTCATCCCCCTCCGCCATCATTTCTCCTGCTCCTCCTCCTGCTTCTCCTCCTCCGCCATCCCTCCTCCTCCTCCTCCTCCTCCTCCTCCTCCTCCTCTTCCTCCTTCTCCTGCTCTTGCTCTTGCTTCTCCTCCTCCTCCTCCTCCTCCTCCTCCTCCTCCTCTTCCTCCTCCTCCTCCTCCTCCTCCTCCTCCTCCTCCTCCTCCTCCTCCTCCCCCGATCCCCCCCACAAGCCGGGGGCCTGGTGAGCACATCGGGATAGATGGGGAGCCCCCGCCAGCGGAGCCGTCGGGAGGTCGGTGCCGCCCATATCGGCGGGATACAACTGGAGCTGGGGCGGGCTCGGGATGCCCCCCCTTGCCAGGTTTCCCTGGCTCGGGGTCCCTGCGGCTGTTCCTCCTCCTGCTGGGGTCCCCTCGGGGGGCGGGCTGGCGCGGGCTCCCTCGGGCCTGCGACGCGCCGCCCATCGCTTGTTCCGAGGGCGCGAAGGGTGCAGCGCGCGAAGACGGGCATCAGACGCCCGCACTCGCGGCGCCAACACACCCCTCGCCAGCGCCGTGGGGCGAGGGGTGCGGGAGGTGGGGGCCCGACTGCTGTCGCGTGGGGCCCCTGGACCTCAAGGCGGAGCGCCGCACGGCACATCCAGTGCCGCCCGCACCGCCCTGGGGTTTCGTCGGCCCGGGCTGCACTAACAGTGGGGGCTGCTGGGGTCCGCTTGGGGCCCCCGCGGGCCGCCCCTGCATTTGCAGTTTTGCGGCCGAGGGCGGCCCAGGCTCGACGCCTCCCGAGGCTGCCCTATGTGTTGGCATCCTCGCGCTCATGGAGCCTGGTTGCGCCAATGCTGCTTGTGCTAGTCCTCCTCCTCCTCCTCCTCCTCCTCCTCCTCCACCACGTCCTCCTCCTCCTCCTCCTCCTCCTCCTCCTCCTCCTCCGCCTCCTCTTCCTCTTCCTCCTCCTCTTCCTCTTCCACCTCCTCCTCCTCCTCCTCCTACTCCTCCTCTTCCTCGTACTCCTCCTCCTCCTCCTACTCCTCCTCCTCCTCCTCCTCCTTCTCCCCCTCCTCCTCCTTCGCCTTGGAAGGCTCGAGCCCCCAGGCCTCCAGCGTCGGGGGAAAAAAAAACAAGCAGGGCGTCGGCTTCGTCATCGTTTTCGCGGCCACCGTTGGCCGTTTCTGATGCCCTGGGGCCCTGGGGCCGTGAAACAACAAATCACAACTGCGGACGCTTCTCCTCAATTTCGGCCTCCAGGGGCCGCTTCTGGGCTCCGGGGCCGTGAACAAAAAGCAAGGCGTGGCACAAGTTTCAGCCTCTGGAGGCCGCGTCGAAGCCCCGAGGCCGTCAACAAATTACCCGGCCGGGATGAGGAAGAACGGTTCCCGGGGAAACGTCGCGAGCTCCGGGGCCTCCTGCTGAAAAGAATCCAGGTATCGGGTGTCTGGGAGCTGTGCCAATCTGAAGGCCCCGCATCTTTCTCTGGCGCTGCCCAGTGGCCTCCCAAGTCGAGGTCAAAGGTTGCAGCACAAAAGGCTTGCACAGATGGCGCAGTGCTCCAGAGATGGTAAAATGGCGGCGCTACACAAGCGCAGTGCTGGGTTCCCTGAGGCCGGATCGGCGCATGTTAGCCCCCCAACTTCGGCGCTCAGGCCTCCATGACGATGAGCGAGTTGCACGTGGTGATTGCCATCAATCCAGGTGCCATCGCGATGCTCTGATCCAGGAACGCAGCACCAGTTTCCAGCTCAGACAGGAGAGCCAAATCGTATGCGCTAGAGGAGGGTGAGCCCCATTTCTGCAGAACTCCAACGTGGTTGCCAACGTAGACGTCTCCAGCAGCATCTATCACTGGATTGGACCAGCTGTTCGGTTGACACTTCTCGCGAGTACCCATTGCCCGCCGGATGTCTGCGCCCTCCTTGTCGCCTGCACAATTGGAGGTCCACAAGGTGGGACCCGTCCTCTTCCACAACCGGCCGCCCCACCTTCCGCTCAGAGCCCACAGCTCCGATGGCTTGCCAACGGTCATATACTTGCCCGCGTACTTGCAGCTGAGCCCCATGCCGATCACCAAGTGCTCCTTCATCTCGCCGCTGTTCAGCTTGCCGATGCTTGCTCCCGCTGGCGGCATGGGAAGAGTCGTCTCCCACATCTTCGCACCGGTCACGGCGTGGAAGCCTCGGACGAGCCCCGGGGTATCTTGCATTGAGTTGCACCAGGACAGGATTCCTGGAGGAGTGTAGGGGCTGCACCACTTACTATCGTACAGGCTTTCAGTGATCGAGAAGACATAGTTCAGCTCTTCGCTGAACAGGGCAGCAGACTGCGTGTACATTCCGATCTGCCCTTCCTTCTTCCATATGAGCTCGCCCGTGGTTATGTTGAGACAATATAAGCCACCTTGAAAGTCCTGGAAAAACAATGTACCAGATGGGGTGAACTGTGCGTCAAAGTTCCAAACTGGCGAGTCGGGTGTGAATGACCAAATACTTGAGCCGTCCACGCTGCTGAGCCCTCTCACGACAGAGTTCGAAGGCACAAGATTCTCTGACTCGTTGCGATACCTGTAGCAATACCGATTGCGGCAGCGGTCGGAAGCCAAAACGAGGGTTCCATCCCTGGCAGCCAAAGACCCCTTGACACCGGCGATCTCGGAAGACACCTTGGTCGCCCATATCTCGTCACCCGTCTCCAGGTCGATTGCAAACGCATACCCAGAGATGGTGGTGCCGTAGAGTGCAGGAATTGCCCGCTGGCGCTTCGACGCTGCTGCTCGGGTAAACTTCTCCTCCCAGGTCGAAAGCAATGCGCTGCTGGCATGCCCCGTGCGAGGCCATCTGATGACTGCCCTTGTCGGGGGCGCGCACAAGGGGGTAGGGGGAGGGGGGAAGGCTTCTTAGAAGGAGGCTGCTTCTTAGAAGGCGCCGACCTTGCATCTGTAGGCAAGGCCCGCGCCTTCCAAGAAGCAGGGGTGCTTCCAAGAAGCCTTCCCCCTCCCCCTACCCCACTTCTGCGCGTGGACGACCTTGGCTCCCCGCGATCGCTGGCAACGATCTTGATCACTTCGCCCACGTCGCCGGCCCTGTAATACTCCTTGCCCTTGGCGTGGTACCCCTTGCCAAAGCGCACCTTCCCCAAGGAGCAACATCTGCAACTCATACCAGCGAGGGGCTCCAGTTGTGGATGCCATGACAATGGGCACTCGAACAGCTCTACTATTGAGCTAGAGTTGCATCTAACATGTCTTCTACATGTGTTTACACATGTTCGGAGCTTTGTAAACAGAAGAAGACATGTGTTGGCACTTTAGAATCAGTTCTAAGATATGTTTCTAGCATCTGGGAACTAGTTGGCAGAACGCCTCCTCTCCATCGATCGGCTACCACAAGGCTCGAGCAAAGGCACATGCCGACATCTCTTGGAGCGGATATCTTCTGCTTCCGCCAGAAGTCGCGCTGCTGCTTCCCTCCCGCCAGCTCCTGCCGCAGACGAGATGTCAACACCCCCATCGATGCTGTGGCAGCGCTGCTCCCGCGAGGTCCGAACCGGGACTCCGAGGCGTGACCCGGCGCGGCGACGAGGGAAGGGCCGCGGCAAGGGTAACCTCCTGCCCCTCTCGGATCGGGCGAAAGGGGGGGATAGCAAAGGGGGGGGGGGTGAAAATCAGCTCACGTAGCTGATTTTCCCGGCGCCTCCCGGCGCCGGAGGCGGCTATGTATCGAGGAATGGGCCCCTCGGTGAGGCCGAAACCAGCTGCATGCAGCAAATTTCGTAACCCCCCTTTCCCAATCCCCCCCTTTCGTCCGGCCCGACCCTCCTCCCGGGCCCCTCGGAGACGAGGCCTCCCCGCACCCTGGAGAGCGAGGCCCTCTCTGCAGCGCGCCGTGCGCCGCGCGCCGCCGTGGCGGCGCGGGTGGGGGAGAGCAGGAGGACGCGCGCGGAGGAGCCGCTGAACCTTCAGGCCTCGGATCGGGTGCTGCTGGAAGTGCCCCCTGGCCCCAGGTCCCCCCAGGATTTCTAAGGAGGCCCCCGCGGCCTCCAGAGCACCCCTCGCGAAGGCCAGTGCTGGCCCCAGGGGCCCCAGAATTGGACGAGGACCGGGGTGCACCTTGGGCCAGGTGCGCCTTTAGCAACCCCCGATCAGACGAAGCCAGGACAAGGACATTGAACAGGAACAAATACAAAGAACTCTGAGATCTAGCGATTCGTGCATCGAGGGCCGCGGTCTTGTCAGAGCACTCTGGAACTGCTCTGGGGACGTCCTGGAGCGCTCTCAGAGCCCCCTGTCTTAGCCCCGCTCGCAGGCCGGCGGGGCACGATCCGCGTAAGGGGTGAGGGGGGGGGGGGGGGCGATTTGCCCACGCGAGCGCCTGAGAAACCGATGTCCTGCAGACCATGGGACCCCAGGAGCGGGAGAATGTGGATATAGTTGGGCCCCAAAGGGAATGCATGCATATCCGCCGCCTCTGGAGCGGCTTCCCCTGGCAGCCGCAGATAGGAGCGAGGCCCAGCGAGCATGACTCGAGATCTCCCGAATGACGTGCTGACATTCCTCCACCTCCTCCTCCTCCTCCTCCTCCTCCTCCTCCTCTCCTCCCCCTGGAATGGTGTGCTCGCGTTGGGTCGCCGCGTCTGGTCCTGGGGCCCGTGGAGCGCACCCGTGGGGCCTGGAGACGGCGCAACAACTCTTGGCGGCGAGCCTCGTGGGGAAGCAGGCCTTTCCGACCTCCAGAGGGGAGAAGACCTCCTCGGAAGGCTCGGAAGCCCCCCCCGGCCTTCGGAGAGGTCTTCTAAAAGCCTTCCCCGAATGCAACAGAAACGTCGCGGGAACAACGGGGGCTTCGGAGGCGTCCCGCCGCCTACTGAGAAGGTCTTCTCCTTCTCTGAGAACAGGAAAAACCACATAAACATTAACTTTTGGCGCTCCGCGCGGATTTCTTGGATCTGCGCTGGACCCCCCGCCCTGGCGCGCGGAGCGCGCCAGGGGCGGCGCTGGAGGCGCCGCAAGAGAGGCCCAGCGCGGGTCCGAGAAATCGGCGCGGAGCGCCAAAAGTTTATGTTTGTCTATGTTCGTTTTTCTTCGACTCTCAGTTTCCCCCCCTCGCTCGCCGTCGAAAAACTCCAGAACCAGGCCTATCCAGGACCCCGTCGGCAGCCGAGCCAGAGAGGGGCGCGAGGCCAGAGAGGAGCGCGAGGCCAGGCAGACGCGACTCGAGAGCTTTCGAAATACGTTCTGGCATGGGGGGAATGATCAATCCTGGTGTTGACGGTGGACAAACCTCCCTCTAGTAGACCTCCCCTTAGTGAAAGCGGCCTAGGACCCAAACCGACGGACTTGGACCCGCAAAACTGACGGCCGCGACGCCCTCTCGCGAACCGACAACGGCCAACTCGCTAATCGACGTGTCAGGGTAGGAGGTCTATCAACCTCCGATGGTGACAACAGCCAACTGGTAAACTTTTCCTTGTGCTTGCTTTCTAAGTCCTGGGGCCCAGGGTGGGCTCTGTGGGAGCCCGCCAACCCCCCCCAAAAAAAAACTGCTCCAGGACAGTTCTCCAAGACCCCTTGATGGACTCTGCCTCCTCCATAGGCTTCTGAGGATCTGTCCCGGTATGGGGTTGTCGTCACCTCGAACATCACCACGACCGGCACCGGCGCGCGGCTCGCGCCGGGAGCGTCTTCGGAGGCGACCCCGGGGGACATGCAGCGCCAACCCACGGAATCCGCGCGACCCTCGGAAGTCTGTGTGCGTTTCGTTGTTCCTTCTTCGAGGGGAGGAAAGAGCAGGAAGGAAGACTGGCGGCACGCACAGAAGGGTGGCGCGAGGGGAGCGACCTCCAAGGAAGCCTGGAAGGCTTTTCTAGCAGGCAGGGAGATTCGCCACTCCTCCCCAAGACCTCGACGCCATCGCCGATCCTCAGGAGGTTGCTCTCGGCGCCGGCGCCGACGCGCAGTGTGTCGTTGCTCGCCTGGGCAGGGAGGGCCAGGTCAACGTTTTCTTCTTCGGCGTTTCGGCATTGGGCGGAGGGGGAGGGGATCTGGCTCCGGAGCTATGCTTCATGCGACTGTTTGCAGTAGTGCGTCCTATGGGGGGGGGGGCTCAACCTGCTCAGAACGGGCGACCAACACAGCCAAGGTCTACTCCATGGGGGGGAAGGGGCGGTGCATAGGCCCGCGCCGATCGGCAAAACAAGAAATATGAAAACGATCACCAGTAGGCATGCTGTCTTGTTCCCCATGCTGACTTATTGCGCACGTGTTGGGGCAATGCGTCCCCACCCTCAGGTCAGGCATGTCCTCCTACAGGCAAATCTTGGAAGACAAATCAACAGATAACCCCAAAATGCCAAACTGTAGTCACACAAACCTAGAAAAATCGTCCCCATTATATTCTTTGCTATTTTTGAATATGCCTTCTGTAGAGAAACATGCCCGCCTTAAACTTATTGCGCACGTGTTGGGGCAATGCGGCCGTACCCTTTTGGCATGCACGTCGACGAGAAGAGCCCCCCCAAGGGACGAAACATTGGCCCGCCACTGGCACTGCAGCGATAGGTGTCTCCTCGAGTCGAGGGCGTCCAAGGAGGGGGGCGTCCAAGAGAAGGGTTCACGTGCGCGGCCCATGGGGGCGGCCAAGGGACGTTCTGAAATAAGAACCGGGGCCATGAGCTCCGGGGAGATTTCTTGGCGCCTCCGACTTCCATCTCGGGAGCGGCCAAGAAGGGGGCGTCCAAGAGGGGGGGGTGCAAATCATGGCCAGCGGCATGTGCGCGGCCCAGCGGGGGGGCCAGGGACGTAATGGAGCAAGAAGAGGCGCCATGAAATCTGGGGAAATATCATGACCCCCGCCATGATATCCACCCCCCCTAGTCATCACCCCCCTCTTTTATTCTCTTGCACAGGGTGTCTAGAGCTCCGACCACTTTATTTCGGCACCGCACCCCCCCCCTTCATCATCATCATCATCATCATCATCATCATCATCATCATCATCATCATCATCATCATCATCATCATCATCACCATCATCATCATCATCAATCACCATCATCATCATCATCCACATCATCATCATCATGCGCCCCCTCCGTCTCAGCGCCCTCCCGCGGCTCCAGCGCCCGCCCAGTGCCCCCTCCGCCTCGACCACTTTATTTCGGCACCGCACCCCCCTCCCCGCTCCGCCCCCTCCCCCGCGCCGTCTCAGCGCCCCCGCGCGGCTCCAGCGCCCGCCCAGTGCCCCCTCCGCCCCGACCACTTTATTTCGGCACCGCACCCCCCCCCCGCTCCGCCCCCTCCCCCGCGCCGTCTCAGCGCCCCCCGCCGCGGCTCCAGCGCCCGCCCAGTGCCCCCTCCGCCCCGACCACTTTATTTCGGCACCGCACCCCCCCCCGCTCCGCCCCCTCCCCCGCGCCGTCTCAGCGCCCCCCCGCGGCTCCAGCGCCCGCCCAGCGCCCCCTCCGCCCCGACCACTTTATTTCGGCACCGCACCCCCCCCCCGCTCCGCCCCCTCCCCCGCGCCGTCTCAGCGCCCCCCCGCGGCTCCAGCGCCCGCCCAGTGCCCCCTCCGCCCCGACCACTTTATTTCGGCACCGCACCCCCCCTCCCCGCTCCGCCCCCTCCCCCGCGCCGTCTCAGCGCCCCCGCGCGGCTCCAGCGCCCGCCCAGTGCCTCCTCCGCCCCGACCACTTTATTTCGGCACCGCACCCCCCCTCCCCGCTCCGCGCCGTCTCAGCGCCCCCGCGCGGCTCCAGCGCCCGCCCAGTGCCCCCTCCGCCCGACCACTTTATTTCGGCACCGCACCCCCCCTCCCGCTCCGCTCCCCGCGCCTTTGCAATTCTCAGCGCCCCCCCCCGCCCCCCCGCGGTTCCATCGCCCGCCCAGTGGCCCATCCGCCCCGGCCACTTATTTCGGTGCACCCGCACCTCCCCCCCGGCCCGTTCCGCCCCTCCACCGCGCCGTCTCGCGCCCCTCCCCCGCGGTCTCCAGCCCCCGCCCAGGCCCCCTTCCGCCCCGACCACTTTTATTTCGGTGCTATCGCAACGCCCACCTCGCCCGCTCCGCCCCTCCCCCGCGCCGTCCTCATCGCCCCCGCCGCGGCTCCAGCGCCCGCCCAGTGCCCCTCCGCCCCGACCACTTTATTTCGGCACCGCACACCTCCCCCGCTCCGCCCCCTCCACCGCGCCGTGTCAGCGCCCCCCAACGCGGCTCCAGCGCGCGCCCAGTGTCCCCTCCGCCCCGACCACTTTACCCTGAGGGTCGAGTCTGCGCGTTCCGCAAAAAAATGCGCATTTTTAACATTGTTTTTAACATCGCCAACATGAGTGAAATTATGGCATATACTTGCGCGTTTA